TGCATTACCATACTCCAAAGAACACTGCTTGGAATGCCATCTCAAAACAAGGCAGGGGTTTGTAAAGCACCCTGCGATTAAGGCGGGGAAAAGCAAAGAAAACTTTTTTGGTTTTCAATTCATACTATACTCAGGCAAAAAACATGCCCATTTCTGTCTTGGTAGTTGTGGGTCACATATATTGGGCCTGTAGTTTTCTAACATCCTTGGCAAGTGCTTCTTGACCATCCATTTCACTATGAAATATAAATTAATATTAGAGAAACAGTAAGGATCCCAGTAATAATATGTACCTCTTTTAGTCACCAAAAACCAGTAAGTAGAACTCATGAGAACTGATCAAAAGTATGTGCTTGGTGAACATATTTTATACACTAAGCAAATGGCTTGAGGTGACTAAACTACGACTACAAATAATTTCTAGATACATATCTATCTACTCAGTTCATCTTTTAATTCCAAGATTCATTTACTTTTATTTATTTCTTTATTACTCAGAGCTCCTTCAACTTTAGAGTATGACATTTCTCATCACTTCTCCATTATCAGAGAATAAAGTTAGATATATCAGCACATTTATCTTTAAATATTAATCAGGACAAGAAGTGATATGAAAGGGATGTACTTGATTTAAAAGGAACACTGTAATTTATCAAGATTTAGCCTATAAGGGAAGCTGGGAACAGAGAGGAAAAGATACAGTGAAAAGAAAATTGGACCAACATGACTTTTCACCCCTCCTGCAGGGAGTTTAAATTATTTTTTGGGGGTGGGGGCAGAATGGGAAAATCCACCAGGTTGAACTTTTCACCTACCTTCTCTGCGAAAATTGAATCATTGAGCTACAACCAAATTAACTTGAAACTGTTTATTAGCAAGACTGCTACTGCTTGCACTTATCACTTAAGGGTCTGCTGATGGTCCCAGTGTCTTTTGTATCTTTCCACATCAAATGATTTCATTTCAAGCCATTTGCTTTGGATAAAGATGATAAAGGGCAGCAATTGAAAAACAACAACAAAAGTCTGAAATGACCACCACAGGCAATGGGGCAATTGCAAAGAAAATAATCACAAACCAAAGCAATAACTTACGGTAGCTACTCTCGCTATCGCTGGCATTAGAAGACACATGTTCTGCAAGAACAGCAAAGCAAATTAAAGAGATACCAAGCATTGGAGAGCAGCCAGAACTTAAAGGAATACACTCATGCAAGGCTACTAGAAATGTGAGCAAAAGGCAAGTGAAACGCCACAAAGAAACTGCCTTAGCAAAATTCATAAATAAGATAAAGAAGATGAAAACTTTATCTCTATTTTATAAGAATTTACTGCCTGACTGCTATACTTTGATTTTAACAAAAAAGGAAAATCTCGTTCATTACAACAAAGTAGATGTCAACCTATGAAATTTTCTTATTACAAGTACTTTGACTCATTAATTTACCTTGGTTCTTCGAGGATGATGAAATTAAGGCCAGTGTGTTTTCAATAGGTCATTCTTAACATTAAATTCAGGAGCTTCTGGTTTGTAAGCACTGTTTTCTTGCAGCCTTTTCTGTCTATTTTAATCTTTAGGCATTTTGCAGAAACTTTGCATTTCAAATAATCAGGGATCTCTGGAGTCCCTTCAGTTTTATTTCCATTTAAATACTTCCTAAATTAATCCTCAGGATTAGTTGAAAGGGACAGTTGAAAACATTTCTTGCTTCAATGAATGAATAGAAAGTCTTGGAAGAATAAATGAGTCATTGAAAATTGTTTTATGAATCAGTTCAATATTTCCTTGTTTTTATTTTAAGATCTTTGCTGTTTGTATTTCATGTTGGATGATTAAATTGTATGGGGATATTTGGAATCAGCTTTTCTTAAAAACACAGTATAGCTAATACAAGTATAATAGGAATTTAGTGATTAAGTTCACCCCCCAAAAAAAGAGTTCTCCTTTCATCTTTACTGTTTATATTAAATTATTGAAGATAAACTCATCAGCTTATCGAACTCTTTGAAAATCAAATTAATTATAGGGCAGGTGACTTAGATCTCTGGAGCTCAATACCAGTAATGTCAGCTGTTTTTTTTTTAAAGTGCTAACTGTTGTATATTTTTAGAAATAGAAAAAATTATAACATTGTTCTTGATTTAAAAAAACAACAACAACTTAAAATATAGGAAAGTAGTTATTATTATTATTAAGTGCTGTCAAATCAGTTCCAACTCATAGTGGCCCTGTATAGGGTTTCCAAGTAGCAGCTGATGGGTTTGAACTACCGAACTTGCGGTCCATTGCTTTATTCCACAGTGCCACACCGGGACTCCATCGCTAACTTAGGCAAACATTTCATAACTGCACAGAGGCACTAGGGGATGAACTGAGATAGATTAGTGCAGATTTGTTTCCTATTAATGGAAAGTCAAATCAGCCATAGTTTATCTCCATGTACACTGGGAACATTATTATCTTAAATGCATGCCTTAAATTGGGGATAGCAGTTTTTGTTTTTGTTTTGTTTTTATTATTTAAATAATTTAGAATGATGTTATACTATTTGTGGAGAAATTTAGAAAATATAGTATTTTATTTAACAACCAATCTTTTTTAGTGTCTAGATATTATATAAACAGAATTTCTCTACTTAGTAGGTAGAGTGAAATTAAAATAGGTTCCAGCTAAAGTCCAAATTATGGCTAACAATAGCATTAATTAGCAAGTAACTTTACCTAGCAAAATCTATTGTTTTTAAAGAGTAAAGGAACATTTGCACATTCTGGGTTTAAAAGGGCATCACTCATATTTTGACTCTTCAGTGGCAATTGCTTTTTAGTAATGCCCATTTTCTAACAACATGTTAAAATGATTCCTTTTGGTCTAAAATTGGAAATTTACTAACTCCCACTGACTGTATTGAATGCAATCCACATAATGTTAAGAGCCAGTATTTGAACTTTAGCCACACAATTAAGAAAAATTTATGACATATTTCATATATAAAAACTTAAATGATAAAGTTTTCATCTTTTAGATCTGTAGTTATTCTTGATTAGACTTTGTTCTCTCTCTTATATAGGAAAATATGTTTAACTGAACAATAAAAGGATGAAGATCATTATACAGCTCTTGCAAATAAAGTCCAGCTCAACGGTATTTTGTTTTACGCAAATGAAATGAACAGCTTCTAAAAATATTGCCCATAGCTGTTAAATTAAAAAACAAAAGCAGAAAACCAATGAACATGTGATACAGTTGCAAAAGACACAAAACTGTGTTCTTATTTCATTGGTGTCTACACAATGGAGTTAGTGTTAGAGAAAGAGAAATCATAGAATATTCATACATGGGAATATTATTTTTAAATTGCTCAATGCAGTGAGACACAGACATTAATAGCTAGGAAATTTAAAGATTTAGTATATTTTATTTTTTACTACATACTATAAAATTAAAACTTGATTATGCAATGTAGCTACTAATATTGATAGAAAAACATCAATACATATCTAACACTTTATCATACAAACGTTTCAAGCAGGATCACTGCAAGTCAGAGAAACATCACTCAAAGGTAGACAAAGAATTGTTAATGGAAGATCAAATATCTTAATATTTACTTTTTGAGAATGCATGTTCCTTTTGATTATAAAATAGCTCCTTTACTAATAGTAAGTATGACCCAATTATGGAATTTGGCAAGGTCATTAATATTTCCGTGTGAAAAGGCAGAAGAAAGAACATAAACAACATTTCGACTTCCCTTTTCTAGAACATTTAGCTCACCCTTTCTTTCAACATGGCTTCTTGCTCTCTGGGAGATATTAGGTTACAGAGCAAGTGATGCTATAGTTGGCATCAGGACCATGTTGACCATAACACAGGGTCAGAAAGGGAAGGTGTTACCTGTAGCAGAAGTTAGAGTGCCTGACACACTTTGCTTTTAAATGCTGACATGCAGAACAAACGATTGGAAAGTATTCTGTAGGAGCATTCACAGCTAGGTAACAAATAAAACTCGTATCTTGTGCATGCTAGGAGTGAACGTTCCTCAAGAAAAGGAACAAAAGCCAAACTCAAAAGGAAAGGAAAAGAAAAGAAAAGTTACAGTGACCATTCCTGGGAACTTACTCAGAGTCTTTGTTCCATAACCGTCGTCACCTAATCCGGGGATGTCCTGCATGGAAGTCCCCAGAGAGAGCAATGAGAGAGGAAGAACAGCCACGGAAGAGGAAGGAAGAAGTCAGTGGAGTTGAAATGGATACTACCATGACAGACTGTGTTGTCTAAACAATCTGGATCCCACTCTCTGCTTTTGAAACAATTTTCACCCCAAATCCCCTGGGCTGAGACTCAAGAAGGAAATTTCTTTTCTGATTTGTAAAGCAACTCAAAAGGTTTAAACAGATTGAAAACAAAGATTCAGCAAAAGCGTTTTTCGCCCGCTGTCAATGTTACCACGGAAATAGGTCTCTTAGAACAATGATCCACTGCAAATTTCATGACACAGACTTAGATTTGGTATCCATCAGTACAAGATCACTGCTCAGCAAGTCAGTATTTAATGTTTGATAGGAGGGGAAAGATGGGCAAATATGCTAATAATCAACATAGGTAATTGAATCACTCCCAAGTAGATAGCATTCCAAAATGCTACCTATGTAGCAAGGGAATCTAATATTCATGCTCAGAAAAGAATTTAAGCCCTAGTGAGTTGCATGACAGAAACAGTAAACTAGACCCAGTTCTGGTCACAGACAAATGCTGGCTGGAAACAAAGTTCCAGTCCCCACAAGTCCCTCTCCAATGCATTCTCAAAGAAAAGGGGTACCAAGGGCAGGATCCAGACTGCAGTCCAACACTGGTCACAGTAGTAAGACCTGACCTGCCTGCCTGCGGTGTTTGTTTGCCTAGGTGTGTGGCATGGGATAGCCTACATCAAGCGTGTTGCCAGTGAAGGAATTTTTTTTCTCTTGTGTTGTATGTGACATTATCTTTGAGAATCTACTTACGTTCAGGGTCACTGGTTTCCTGCTCACTCTGCTCCTTGTTCTTGTAGAATGGGAATTTTCGTGAAAAGATGAAGCTCTTTTTACGCTTGTCATTGAATGACTGTGAAGGAGAAAAGGCATGGGGCAAAAACAGGGGACGTCTAATTGTTGTCACACTCATGCTGACAAAACAACTAGTTTGTAAAAGCAGAGAGAGCTGTCGTGACGCAAGTGGATACTCGAAAGAGGTGGCAGAGGGCCCCTAAAGGTCGGAGTTTCTTTTCCAGGAGTGTAAATTCTGAATGGCGACACCTGTGGTAAATTGTCTCTTAAGTACAAGACTGGTTACAGATAAATTATGATGGAGGAGAAGAGTCTTAAGTTTGAGGTAGAAGACCCAGAGTCTCAATAGGACTTTAGACAGGTAAATCAAATGCTCAGAACCACTAAAGTTTCACCAGCAAAATGAGGATGAGGGTAGCAGCTCTATGATTATTGTTGTTAAGTGCCAGTCAAGTCAGTTTCAACTCATACGGACCCTGTAAAGCAGGGGCAGGGAACACATCAGGCCCATGGGTTGTGTTGTTGTTGTTGTTGTTGTTGTTAAGTGCCGTGGAGTCAGTTCCGACCCACAGTGACCCTGAACAGGGTTCCTGACGCTGCAAATCTTTACGGGAGTAGAAAGCCTCATCTTTCTCCTGCAGAGCAGCTATAAGGTTCATGAAATCATTTGGTCTGGTCTTGCCAAGGCAACTGCTGTTCCAGCCATCACATTAAGGGTGAGTTAATTAAATGTTTGACCAGATATAGCAGGCTAATTTTTAAGTTGATGATTTTGTGTGGCCAAAGAATGATGCTATAAATTTCAGCAGATAAAATGTTCTCACCCTGCTGTCTAGGGTTTCCTAGGAGTGGCTGGTGGATTTGACCCGCCAGCCTTGCTGTTCTCAGTCTAGTGTTAATCCTACGGCGTCAATGTAAATGGAAAGTGCTAGAGAAATACCATCTTTATTATTGCCACCAGGTTAAAAAAAAAGGCCTTGTTAAGGAAAACTAGTTTTTTTCTCAGAGTCTAAAGTTTCTTTTAAAAAATCCTTAAAATTTGAATTACTTTAGCTTAAGATTTAAAGCTGCAGAGAAATGTGTAGCTCTATGATAATTACAGTATTATAGCATTTTTATTCAATGGAACTTTTAAAGGCACATTAGCCTCAAGCCCTCATTTTGTAGACAGAGTCAGAGGCATGGAGGAGTTGAGCAACATAATAATGTTATGGAGTTAGTTGGTGATAGTTGGGTGGCAGATAATCAAAATCAGTTGAAATGTGAAGGAATATTAACTTGATATTCACTCAGCAAGGGAGAAACAATGATCCCTCATCTATATTTTAACAAGATAAAAATAAAAATAAGGACTGTTTCTAAAATATAAACCACTCTATTTATTTAAATTAGGCTAAATGTTTAAAAGTATATATATATATATTCAAGTGAATATCACGCATTTGCCCAGAAGATCCCTTAAGAAAATTCCATTTGCTGCACTCCTGCTATTATGCAAATGCTTTGTGGAGTTATTTGAAAAAAGTGTTCACAGTCATCTTACAAGCTACAGACAATTCAAGTCCTGTTAAGTTCTTATTCACATATCATTAAGAAAAAGACTGCCTTGACTGACTCAGCTATTACCATCTTTTAGCTGCTTAACAGGATTTGCTATTGTGTAGGTATTAAAATCAATGTGACAGAGAATCTGAGGAGGTATTCTAACACAGTTTTAGCAATGGCAGCTGTAGGAATAAACATAAAGCCAGTAGCGTGACTACTGGGAAGGAAAGAGTAATTGTTGAAATGTATGTATTTGGACCATTGGTGGAAATCCATACCTTTCCTTATGGATTTGAAGCTTGACAAAATGGTGTTAATAACCTATTTTCTTCGTATATTCATGCACTCCTATGTTATATATACATTTTTGTAACTGTGTTTATTTAGGAAACATTGAAGTGCTAAAATATTGACGCAGTCATTCAGGAATTCCTTGCTTTTGTAGATACTAGGAACTGTCTCCAAAGTCAGTGGAATTTAAGAAAAAATAAAAGGAATATTTATTAATTTCTGAAAAACAGGGACCAGATTTGATATATCATATGCAGGGACTGGAACAAAATAATGTTCTTAGATGAAAAAAGAAGTATCATTTGATAGTTTATTATTCTTACAGCCCCTACGTTTAATATAGTGTTACTATAATTTATAATTAAAGAGCAGAGTCCAAAGACAAGGCTGGAAACTCCTCCCAAATGTAATCAGTTAAAAAATTGATAAGCCCTTAAAGAAATATTAATTATTCTTGCATCACTCCAGTTTCATGCCACTTTTACAGTTCAAGCATATTTAAACTTCAGTAACTGAAAAATAAATGAAAAATAAAATGTAAGAATTAAAGATGTGATATATTGCGAAGTATGTTAGACATTTAACTTCAACATTATGGATGACTCGTCATGCAAAAAGAATAAAAATTTTCATGCAAATACAAAACAGTGCCAAAGGAGTAAAGCGTGGAGTTAAAACGTAGACACAGTTGGACAATGTAGAGAACTTTTGGGGGCCCAAAACAAGGCTGCATGCAAACCATTTAAATGGTCTCACAGGGTCAAAGGAAAATGAAAATGTGTTGTCTGTGATTAACTCTTGTATCTTTCAAAGCAAGGAATGTAATGTGTTAACATTTCCCAAATATGAAAATGTGTGTATCATGAGTCATCTGATTGGGACAGAATAATACTGAACACCACACTTTTTAGAAGAACAGAAAATACATAATAATACCTCAAAATAAAAAGCATCTAACATATGAATCTTATCACCAAAAGCTATTTTGTATTGGAATTAAAGAAGAGAAGACAACAGAACTGGTCGTTACTCTTTTTCAGATTCATGGACACAAAAACAAATTACGACTTCTGTTTATACTTACAGTCTTAAAAGCCATGCCTTTAAAGGGCCTAAACATTTCAACTATAAGAGGATATATTTGGTCCATAATACCATAACACTATATATATATTAAAATCAGGCATGTATAATACCATTATTTAAGTTCCTTTACTGTTAAAATTTTTTCTTTTAATTTAGAAAAGCAAAATCTGTTAAATGAGTGTTAGGTGAGAATAATAAATTAACACTTTTACTATTTATAAAACACATGCTTCTAAAGCAACTAAAGGCTGGCTTACAGCTCTGTTTTTAATCATACTTGATCAGTCCTATTCCTTCTACATTATAGTATCTTAAATCCATTGCTTTCATTTCAGGAATCTTTAAGGAACAGGAACTTCTATTAAACTTCTTTTAATAGAGACTCTGAAAACACCAATCACATGTGATAAGGGGCAAGTTGGCATGCCTGAGAAATCCATTTCAGAACTGGACTTCGATCTTATGTATAAAACCTATAACAACATTGATTGAGCAGGAGTGCTAGGCACAGTTCTGAAAGCTGCGCATGTGCCGTCTTCATGCTAATTACAGGAGGTTGGTACCATCATTATTTCCATGTTACCAATGCAGATACTGAATTTTACATACTTTCTGTCACTTGTGCAGAGTCACAGTTGGTGGAGTAAGGATTTGAATTAGCAAATATATTGTAGGTGTTGATCTTATAAATATGAGACATTTCTGTAACCTAAACCTGCGTTAAGCTGTGATTTAACGTTGTTGTTGTTGTTAACTACCGTCAAGTCTATTCTGACTCACAGTGACCCTGTATAGCGTTTCCAAGGAATGACTGGTGGGCTTGAGCCACCAACCTTGTGGTTAGCACTGCCAGCGCTTATCCTATAGTGCCACACCAGGATCCATGTTATTTAGTATTGTTGTTGCTGTTGTTAAGTCTCATTGAGTCGATTCTGACCCACAGCGACCCTGTACAGGGTTTCCGAGGCTGTAAATCTTTACGGGAGCAGAAAGCCTCATCTTTCTCCTGCAGAGCAGCTAGTAGTTTCGAACAGCTGACCTTAAGTTTCACAGCCCGATTCATAACCACTACGCTACCACAGCACCTAACATTAGCCTCTCTTAAATGATTCATACTCTGTTACTGTCCCCGTAATTTATTGCTTGGCAGTTACTTAAGCCATCAGATGCGATCCTCTTTCAGAACATCATAAGAGCTTTGCTGGTTATCCTATTAAAGATTTTTTAAAATAAATTTTTACAGCCATTCATATTTTGAGGACTCTATTGCATTCTTTTTCTTTCTGTTATGATGTGTTAAACAAATTTAAAAAAACCCACTTTAGAGGGATAGTCTATGGATGGTAGTCAAAAGACAATTTTTGGGAATAAGCAAAGTTATACAAAGTAGATAGAGTAGTGGTTACTTAGGTCTAGGGGCAGAATGTTGGGGAACAGGGGAATGATGGCAAATGAGTCCAGAGTTTCTTTTAGGGGAGTATAAAATGTTTTGTAAAATTAGATTATTGTAAAGATTGTATAATTCTGTAACTAAGCTAAAAACCTTGAACTCTACACTTTAAGTAGGTAAATTCTATAGTACATGATTTATATAGACTTATAGACATCTCAATACAGTTTTGATTTTTTTAAGGGAACTGCTTTCCAACCTGTAAACCATGAGAAGAGGGGAAACAACTACAGCATGTTTATGATTTTATTTGGCATAAACTTAGAAAAATTATCTTTAATTGAATGCGAGGAAACCAGTCTTCACTAGCCCTGGTAATTATTCAGATATGGGAGGGGCTTCAAAAAGTTTGTGTAAAAATGGAATTCAAATACAATGGAATTTCCCCATGAATTTTTGGAGGCCTCTCGTACATGCCTTTTGTTTATCCAGTTCTGTTGTGCCTCTGTTAAATGAATACCTTTCATGTTGTGACAGACATTAGAACACCTGACCCAGGAGTCTGAGTATTATCACTGTCAGACATTTCCAAATTATTAGTCAAATGGCATCAAATTGCCCAGTATGACCTCAAGATGTAATGACACTGGTGAACTAGCTTAAGAAAAAAGATACTTCATGAAGAAAGAAAGGAAACAACACCAAACCTCAAATTACCCTCTCTCCAACTGAACACCCATGTTATT